CTGGGGCTGCCTTTGTGCAGCCGCTGCCTTTCTGTGGTCTGCCTTCTTCCGCCGTGGGGGCCAGGCTTGCCTGCCTACTCGCGGCGGAATGCAGTCGTCACTGGCGGGACACGAAAGGGTGCCGTCATGCGAAGGTGTTTGTTCCGGCGTGCTCCGGCGGATTCGCTGCGGAGTTGCTGGGGATGAGCAGGAGCCGGGTTCGCACTATTGCGAATTTCTTCACGGGGCACTGCCCGGTGAAATACCACCTGCACAGGCTGGGGAAGTCGGGCTCCCCCCTGTGCAGATTTTGTGGGGGTGGCGATGAGACCGCCGTGCACATTCTCTGCGACTGTCCGGCACTGGCTGTTCGGCGCCGCAATTGTCTTGGACATGGGTCCCTAAGTGTTCGGGAACTATTGTCCAACTCCCTTAGGGATATCGCCGGCTTTGTGATTGGGACGGGGATATTATAGACGGGAGAGTGGGGTGGCTACAATAAGTCAAAAATGGCTGCGGTGGCTTGGGGGGATGCTCCTGTCCCACTCGGTTCCCTTAGAATCTACGAATCTACGAATCTGTCTACCTGTGAGCAGTGCACTTTGATATCGGACACCCTGTATATAGGTTTCCACCACCATAAGGCTCCCATCTAGCTGAAAATTTTGCCTCATATAGTCATATCCATCCAAGTTAAAAAAATCGGTATCACCTTCAATTAACCAAAATTCTGTCTATAAAATAATATGGATGTCAAAATCTTAAGAATTCTAAAAGATATAATTTATTTCTTAAGCTTTACAAATTTATATAAATTATAATTAAATTCCTCATTTCATTTGTAACTGACGAAAGATTTCCTAGCGCTTTCGCGTGTACAACATTGTCATAGTCAGCGAAGCTCATGCTATTAAAAGTACGCATTATTTAAAATTGGTAAAATCAATACAAAAAGAAAAGGGAAAGAGTATTAGAAAATAAAGTTGTGTCCAACTAATGGTTTTTATTGTAGCACTTACCCTTTAACAAGTGAAAATACTGCTTTGAAAAACAATCGATGTATACCTACCACACTATTAAAAATTATTTTCATTCATATACAAAACTATTTCTAGGATTGCATATTTTTAGGATGAACAATTTATGCAGTTTTTGAAATAAAGCAAAAATTAATTTAGAGAGGTGTTAACATAATGCTTGGTTTTAAAGGTTAATAAATAAAAATAATTATATTTTTTAATGTCATGAAGTTTACCGTTAGCTTTCTGCGTTTATAGAAATTAGCTTGAGGTTTCGGAAATATAAGGATGCCAAAAATTCAAATTTTACAAATTTCAAGAGGCGATAACTTGACATGGAGAAAAATTTTCTTCTAACGAAATGAACTATTTATTAGTGCCTAAAATCTACTGAAATTTGAGCCTCCTATAACCTGGGGTCTAGAATAATAAAGTTGGGTCAAACCAATGGTTTGTATTGTAGCACTTTTCCCTTCAACATGTGAAAATTCTGCTTTTTAATACAGTCTATGTATACCTATCACACTATTAAAATTATTTTCATTCATATACAAAACTAGTCCAAGGATTGCATATATTTAGGATGATGCATATATGCAGTCTTTGAAATAAAGCAAAAATTAATATAAAAAGGTTTTAACATAATGCTCGATTTTAAGGGTTAATTGTGTGAGTTAAGGAAAATAACTATATTTTTTAATGTCATGGAATTTACCGTTAGCTTTTTGCGTTTATAGAAATTTGAAAAAGCTTGCGGTTTCGGAAATACAGGATGTCAAAAATTCAAATTTTACAAATTTCAAGGGGTGATAACTTGAGAGAGGGTGGAGATGGAAAAAGGAAAATTTTCTTCTAATGAAATGAACTATTTGTTAATGTCTGAAAGCCCCTAAAATTTCAAGCTTCTACAGACTGGGGTCTAGAAGAAAAACGACATCAAAAATTTGGAAAAAAAGGACTTTAGATAACGGTAAATTTGAACGGCCATTTTGTTTTTCTAAAGTTTAACTGTAGTATACCGCGCTAGGGAAAGCAAGCCGCTACCTTTCTGCGTTCGCAAAATTTCAAAAACGCTTATGGTTTCATTGTAACAAATAGTTAAAAAAGGCCATTTTTAAGGTTTTGGGGGTGTATAACTTCTAGAGGGGGGGAGATAGGTAAAAATTTTGTTCAACGGAAGTAAGTTTCTAGTAAAGATCTATGTACATATAAAATTTCAGCTTTCTATCTTCAAGGGTGTAGAAGTTTTGTAAACAAAAAAAGTGTCCATGGACGGACGGACGGACGGACGGACGGACGGACGGACGGACAGAGTGAAACTAATAAGCACTTTTTTCAAAAAATTTTTTGGAAAAGTGCTAAAAACAACATAAAAAATTTGAAAAGATCAGATTTTATGTAACGGTAAATTTTAACGGCCATTTTGTTTTTTGAAAGTTTAGGTATAGTATGTCGTGATAAAAGAAGCAACCCACAGCTTTTCTGTGTTTGTAAAATTTGAAAAATGCATATGGTTCTACTACAGTAAATAGTTGAAAAATGATATTTTTAGGATTTTAGGGGTTTATAACTTCTAGAGGGGTGGATATAGGTAAAAATTATGTTCTATGAAAATTAGTTTCTTGTAAAGATGTATGTATATATAAAATTTCAGGTTTCTATTTTCAAGGGTGTAGAAGTTTTGTAAACATGTCCATGGACGAACGGACAGAGTGAAACTAATAAGAACTTTTTTTCAAAAACTTTTTGGAAAAGTGCTAAAAGGGCAAGAAAAAATAATGAAAATACAAATTTCTTCAGTTGTACCTGTAAATTATATTTTTTGACGAATGAAAGAGTGAACTTTAACCTGAGTTAAATATTACTTAGCGATATTATAAAAATTAGAATATTAAAAATTGTGGTATATACGAAATTCAGGAAAGATAAAGCTAAAAATAGTCGGTAGTGAAAACTTCAAAAATTAAAAATGTGAAATTATATGAAAAAAACTTTGTTCGTAAAAAAAAGTACAAGAATGAGTTCTTGCAAGCATTTAAGAGAGAAGCACGCTTTTTTACCGACCGTGATGGCAACCAATTTGGCATATCCAGTTTTCGGTGAGAATGCACTTCTCCATAGTAGGGAAGCCTAAATAAACTATTTTTAGAGAACTGTCTGTCTGTCTGTCTGTGTGCACGCGTGTATCTCAAGTTCGGCTGAAACGATTTTGATGAAATTTTATATGTAAGTTTATTTCGACAATGTCACGGATTGATCATTTTGGAATATATCAGACCTCGGGAACTGGATCTTTTAGCGGGTCTGTTTTACATTTTTAATCATTGTGAATGAAATATTCAATAGATTTATTTGAAATTTCATATATAAGCTTCATTCGTCCGTCCTCGAAACCTCCTAACTTTTGGAAATTTCATTAATAAATGAAAGTGACAAAAGAGATAATGGAGATGATAGTAAAACAATGATTTTTTTTTTGATAATGATTATTTATCATTATTATCAAAAAAAAAATTATGAACAAAAAATAAAAACAAAAAACATTTGTGAAAAAGAGAAAAATTTAAAATGCAATAACGAAAGATTGATATGTCTATTCCAAGATTCGTCGTAATTCTTTTTTCGTGAATAGTGCAAAAATGGTATTTTAAGATCCGAAAATTTTCCAAATTAACAGTCAGAACTAATGAATAGATTATGATTCCGAATTTTCGTAACTTTGGTATTCTGAGATCCCTTTTTAACAAATGTTCACATTCAGAATTAATAATCACATACTACGAATAATCACATTCTTCACTATAACTAGCAACGAATTATTTGGAAAGTTATGTTTTCCATTTTTAGTTAAGTTTAAAAATAAATAATAGAAGAAGTCAAAAAATTATGAAAATGTAAGTGTAGTTGCTGCAATTTATAATAAAATATGTGTAATTCAATATAAAAAATTACTGAATCTAACTCAACTTTAAGTTCATTTAAAATGTATTAAAAAGCTGTCTTCTTTAATCTAAAGTTTTTTGTAAAGCTGAAAAGTATGTTTTTTGTGTAATTATTTTTTTACGAAATATAAATTGTAGGATATATTTATTAGCATATATTGTTACGTTACCACCATGCTTTACTCTGCATGATACGTGTAGTAAAACAGAATTGCCCATAACAAATTCAAATAAAGATTGCCCTCTACCTTTCCAATAAATAAAAATCGTTTTTATCAAATAAAATAATTTTTTTTTCCTTTCATAATAAAATTCTACTTGCACATTTTAAAATAAACATTCGTGACGCGTTATGTAACTTCCGTTTGCAATTTATCGAATTACATAAAATTTTAATTAAATTGTAATTATGAATTTTAAATAATAAACAAAAATTGCCTATCAAGCAATTTTTACTTTGAATCAAAAATATTGGGAAAGAAAGTTAATAAAAAATAAAAAGTAAATTAGTTCTAAGAAGCCATACGTGGAATTAACAAGTTTGTAAAATTAATAAAAATAATTTAAGTGAAAAATAATTTAAGTAAAAAATAATTTTAAATAAAAGAAAAAACTTTTGAATACAAAAAATAAAAAAGTGTTTTTAATCCACGTATAAAAAAATACAACTTGAAATACGTAACCTTGAAATACGTAAGTGGCGCCGTCGGTAGGATCTTAATCGTTAAGATCGAAAAAGATAAAAAGATTCGCATAAAAGTTGTGTCTGAAAAACGGTCTAGAACTCAAATAAAATTTTTCAAATAAACTTGAAAAATAAAAAAAGAAAATTTCTGAAACTAAAAATTGAAAAATTTGTTTTTGAACTTTTAATGTTGGAAAACTTAAACATCCAGTAAAATTTTAATAAAATAAAAATTATAAAACGATAATCACAAAATAATATTACAAAAAGAAATTAAAATTAAATACAAAAATAAGGAGAACATTGAAAGAAAAGTGAAAAGTGGATTCCAGAAAAGAAAAGCGACTAACAATTAGGTACGAGGAAATATTCAAAATGGCAACAAACAACACTGATGCTTCAACATCTTCAGCTACCGCCAACACTATAGCTCCGCTGCAATTAACGATAGATCCGATGCAGTACATCCAAAATTTACCAGAATTTAACGGAAAAGGTGAGGAACTTTATTCTTTTGTAGAATTAGTGGACAATATTTGTCCTTTAATATTAAGATATGATCGTAGTAGTCAAAAAATTTTATTAAATAAAGTTAAAAGTAGAGTTATATATAGTGCTAGAGAAGTGTTAGAAATTAATAATAATACTCAAAGTTGGTCGGAAATGAAATCTGTCTTGATCAATAATTTTAGAGATAGTAAAACTGCTTTGCAAATTTATGATGAACTAAGAGCAGTCAGTTTTGCTACTCATAGTGTAGACTTGTTCAATGAAATTAAAAAGGTATTGAGGCGACTCAATAATAAAGTAAAAACTGATCCTAACTCAGTTTTTACAACCGCCATAAATATCGAAACAGCTTTGAAAATTTTCAAAGACAAGTTACCAGAACCAATGCGTTTCATTTTATATTGCAGAAATCCGGCTACAATAGAAGAAGCAATGCATATTTTGCATGAATGCAATTATGCATATTAGAGTCCTTTCAGAAATAAAACAAATTTAAACAAACCACCCACACAACATTTCTATAGGCCTAATAACCAAAATAATTCTAATAGAGCAAACAATTTTAATCATAATAATTTTAATAACATTAACCGAAACAGAAATTATAATAACAGTACATTTGTATAATGAACATTTAAAAAACAATTATACTAACCAAAATTTACAAAATAGTAATTTTAACAGTAGTAGTATAGAACTAATCAAATTAGTAGTAGTAGTACTAATACCAGAAATGATCCTAGTTTTGATAGAACAAATTCTAACTTTAACTCGCATGGTACTCAACACATCAAACCAATGGAGATCGATACGAGTACCTCGCGTAGAGTAAACAACTTAGAAGTTAGTACATCTAAAAGAAGCATTGAAATAGAAAATTTTTCACTCGCAAGTCTCGAAAAAACATCGGAACTTCCTTATATAAAAGTTCAATCAAAGGGAAGACCTTTAATATTTTTAATAGATTCTGGTGCTTCAATGAGCATCATCAACACAGGTATTTGTAATCCTATTTACAAATCCGAAATAAAACAAATCAATGTAAAAACATTAACCAATTTAATAGATTGTAGAAATAAAGTTACAATAGATAGTTTTATTGAATTTGATTCAAATAAAAAAATAGAATTCTTAGAATTAAAATTCCATGATAAATTCGATGGGCTTATAGGCAATAAAATTCTATTGCCGTTTGAAGCTGAAATCAGTAATAAAAATAGAATTTTAAAATTGAATACAGGTAACGAAATCCCTTTATACTTCAATGAAAATGAAGAAAAGGATTATTACGTTCCTGTACCTCTACAAAATATTGCAATATTTCAAAATGAAATATTTTTGGCACGTAACAATTTAAGAATTAATCATTTGGACTTAAAAACCAAACAAGAACTTTTAAAAATGTTGAAAAAAAATAGTAAAGTTTTCTTTTATGAAGGTGATAACTTAACATTTACCTATGAAATTAAACATAAAATTAGTACCATAAATGACGTACCCATTTATACTAAGGCTTACCGGTACCCAGATATACATCGCGATATACAAACCAGATATACAAACCATTTGTATTAACAACTGATGCAAGTAACTTTGCTCTCGGTGCCGTACTTTCCCAAAATAATCACCCTGTTACGCATCGCGGACACTCAACGAACATGAGTGTCGTTTGGGCAACAAAATACTTTCGCCCATATCTGTACGGCAGAAGATTTTTAATTAGAACTGATCATAAGCCTTTACAATGGTTACACAACTTAAAAGAACCCAACTCAAAGCTGCAAAGATGGAAAGTCAAATTAGAAGAATTCATCTTTGACATTGAATACTTAGCTGGGAGGGAAAACAAAATCGCAAACGCGCTATCTAGGACACAAATAAATACTAACGATATTGAAGTAGATAAAATCAGTTCTGTACACGCGCCTATAGACACTAACGAAAACGTAAAAACTAATTCAGATAATAATCCACATGAAAATTATTTGGATGATGTGGAAATACGCTCAACTAATGCTATTATTCATTCTACGCAAGAAGGTAGTACAGAATACATCCCCATTTACATCATTTCTGAATTACCTCTAAATGTGTACAAAACACAAATTATTATTAACATTGAGCCCCACACTCAAACTAGAGTAAAAAAAATCTACGATAGAACAAGAAAAATATTTTACCATCCTAAACCGGATGAAAATTTCATGATTAACATTTTAAAAGATCATATACCATATAAGGGAATAATTGGTATAATGATTGATGACCTACCAACATACAATAAATTGCAAAAAGTTTATTTAAAATATTTTTCAAAAAATAAGCTATTAAAATTAAATAAATGTTCATTTCTACTTGAAGACATTTTATGCCGACATGAATTGCAAGAACTTATTCTTGACCAACACCAAAAATCAAATCATAGAGGTATCAATAATGTCTATAAAAATTTAAAGTATAAATATTACTATCCTAAATTAAAACAAGAAATCCAAAAACTACTAAATAATTGCCACATATGTAATGTAGCAAAATATGAACGAAAACCCTTAAATCTACCACTAAAAATTACTGAGACTCCTGGTAAACCACTGGAAATAATCCATCTCGATATTTGGTTTAAAAACAAAGTAAATGCTTACCTAACGGTAATCTTCAAATTTTCAAAACATGCACACGTAATACTAATTAAGTCCAGAAATTAGATAGATTTAAAAAATGCTTTTATGCAATACATCTCATCTTCTGGCAAGCCTAAAAAAAATATAACAGGTCAAGAAAAGGGTTTTAACAGTTTAAATTTCAAAAACTTTTTAGAAAATGAAGGAATTACGATACATTTTACCACACCCAATAACCACTCAAGAAACGCGGATATCGAAAGATTCCACAATACGTTAAATGAGCATATCAGAATTTTATACGCAATACAAAGAGAAGAAAATTTACCTATGAATGAAGATCCAGTTATAAAAAGTGTAAAAATTTACAACGAAACAATCCATTCCTCCACAGGCAGAAAACCTATTGATTTTGTTAACGATATCGTAAAAACTACAGATTACTCTGCCATTCACAAAAAATTATTATCATCTAAAATCAAAAAAATTAATAGTATTAATAAAAAACGAAAAAAAAGAAAAAGCATCTAATTATCTTAAACTTAATAGAATTACCAAACTTCAACCTCTGCATAAAAAGATTAAATCGAGAAAGAAAGTGATTCTCATTTTAAAATTGATAACGAAAGCTATCCAATTCAGGAAAAAATTTAAATTTCAAAATTAAGACGAAAGTTCTTCTTCTAAAAATTTTTTTACCTAACAAATTTTACAATATCAAAGTACCATATGATTAACAAACTTGACAGTCTTAGATTTGATTTTTCGTTACATTTTATACAATAACTGTCGTTACCTTGATTAAATGCATATAAATCCATACATCATAATTCTATCATAAAATTTTCTGATTTTAATGTCTAAATAAAAATCTATAATAACTAACAATAGTAACAATAACTCTGTAATTTTTATTTTAAAAGCAAAATAAAACAAGTAAAAACGTTTCAGTCGGTATAAACCGATTGAATTATACCCTGCACTTTTCGTTATTGTGTAGCAATTACACGAACCAGTGAAGCCATTCTATAGAAACTTCACGGATATGTCTGATTTATAATTGGACATCCGACTGCCAAGTTTCATGAATCTGACTTTATTATTTTTCCAAATATTAAGAATAAGCTTTTAGGCTTGTATGGTATCTACTCGAACCTGTCAAGCAATTCCACCAAAACTTCAGAAATATATCTGACCTATAATTGGACACACAACTGCCAAGTTTTATGAATCTGACTTTATTATTTTTCCAAATATTTAAAATTAGCTTCTGAAGTTGTATGGCAGGTACCCGAACCTGTCAAGCAATTCTTCTGAAACTTCAGAAATATATTTGACCTATAATTGGACACATGACTGCCAAGTTTGATAAATCTGACTTTATTATTTTGCCGAATATAAAAAATTTGCTGTTGGAGTTGTATGGCAGCCACCCGAACCGGTGCAGCTATCCCATTATAATTTTTAGAGCATATGTAAAATATAATTGGACACATGTATACAAAATTTTATATTTATAGCTTTTTTAGTTTTCGAAATATTTAAAATAAACTCTGTGAGTTGTATGGCAGATACCCGAACCAGTTGTCCGAATTAGTCCAATAACAATAGGGTTCGTCCTTGGCACAAAAGAAAAAACTTGTGAAAGTTTGGTGTCGATAGCATTATTCGTTTTTGAGTTATCGTGCGATCGGACGGACGGACATGCCTAAATCGACGCAGAATTTTACGCTGAGCAAGAATATATATATACTAGGGGCCCCTGTGGTTTGCTTATAAGCAGCATTGTCTGTTGTAAAAACAGGATTGTGGCAATCAATTTTAAAATAAGTTTAGAAAAATTTGTACATATTATGGCATACATATGCAGGTATATACTTGTATATGCATAAATATCATATTGGTTTGAATACTAATGATAAATAAAAGTAATGGAAATATTTTTAATTTAATAAATTTTAAGATGTAATATGTGTCACTGTTAATTACATAGATATGATTAAAATTCAAATTAAGAATTAGTTAACAATTAAGAACGAAAAATTTCCTTCTAAACAACGTTATCTAGATAAGTACGTAACGTAACGTTATTCGTGTTCTTATATCTCTCACAATTTTTAGTTTTATTTTTTTTAATTCCATTCCATGTTAAATACAACAACAAAAAATTATTTTACTCTTACTTAACTCATTTAAAATATTTCGCTTCCTTTTGCTTTTTATTTTTGTTTAAGGTAGTAAAGCAAAAAAACAAAAAAAATATTACTACTCTTTTTTTACTCTCTTTCGCTTTTCGCTTTTCATTTTTTGTTTTTGTTTTACAGTATGTATAATCAATTGAGTAATGTATGTACCCAGTATTCTCTTTTGCTATTTTCATTTCTTTGTTTTTGTTATTTATTAGATTATATGTATACCTGTTCATGAACTGGAAAAATCTTGTAAAATATAATATAGATGTTCATATCGCAGATGACTCCTTCAAGTAGTTACAAACTCCATACCAAAGTTAATACACCCTTCACGAAGTGCAGGGTATAAAAAAACAAAATAATAATAAGATTCTGAAATATTTATAAAACCATTTTAGCTTATGTCAGCACTAATTCGAAAAAAAATTTTTTAACTTATTAATCTTTTAAAATTGACAACAAAATTTCTGCTTAATCATATTACATCAGATATAAATTCTTACTGAAATGATTTTGTACTCTTTCAGCTCTTATTTTTATTTTAATCGTATTTTGCAACATAACTCACATTAATTGCACATTTATCGAAATTAAAGAAATACAAAATGGAAATGGTTATATCTTATTGCAAGACTCCGAATTAAAAATTGTAAGA